CCAGTCTAAAAAAAAAATACCCTCGCCCTAATCCAGGGGAAACTTGCAAACAGTATGTTGTATCAGTCACAGGGTTTACAGCATTGTGACCCTAATCAGGCAAGACAGAGAGGTTTTGGAGGTGATAGTATTAAACCAAAGAGGATTTAGGGGTCCAAGGGGAAGAGGACGTGGAGGAAATAGGTCCCAACCATTTATTAATAGGACACATTGTTTTAACTGTGGAGGGCAGGGACACTGGAGGAATGAGTGCCCCAACCCTATCAGACAACAGACTGGACAAGCCCCAGGTTACCAGGGTCCCTCACGGATACCCCAGCAGCCCCACTACCCCCCACAGCATCACTCTCCAGCCCCTAATACACCCTCTGGCCCTACCCATCACATCCAATGGCCATAGGGCTGCCCAGAAGGTAACACTCCAGCTTTTCCTGTATTCTCCTCTAACTATATGGAACAACCCTTCATAGTCCTCAATGTAAATGGGAGGGATATGCCCTTTATTGTAGACACGGGTGCTACCTGTTCCACCATATGTATGGATGTATATAGAGGTTCAAGGGAAAAGTCAACACCTTCTGTGGGAATAAATGGAGTATTAACAAAAATCTTCAAATCTATCCCTTTGGAAATTAAATTACCCCACTCCCCTATTTCTCTACACCACCAGTTTAGCCTAATCCCAGGGTGCCCTGTTAGTCTCCTAGGGAGGGATCTCCTTGGACTACTGGATACAACTGGGGATTTCCCCCTGAGGGTGACATGGCAGTTTCCCTTACTGCTCCTCCTCTGGAATTTTTCTACAGATGGACATGAATGAGGTCCCTGCTTCTGTATGGGCTTCGTCCAAGCTAGATGTAGGATACGTAAATTGTACCCCTTATAAAGCAAAACTTTGTCCAAATGTCAGCCAAATTTATAGTAAACAGTATCCCCTGTCACAGGAAAAGAAGGATGGGATCAGACCTATGATCAAGTCCTTCCTTCAGCAGGGTATACTAAGGCCTGTAGTCTCCCCCTATAACTCCCCTATTAACCCGGTCCCTAAGGCTACCAAGGACTAGAGATTTGTTCAAGACCTTAGGTCCATTAATATTCTAACTATCCCAATAGCCCCCATTGTCCCTGATGTTAACACTCTGATAACGGCCATTCCTCATGAAGCTAAGTATTTTACAGTCATTGACTTAAGTAATGCATTTTTCTCGGTCCCTGTTGACAAAGAGACACAACTACTTATGGCTTTCACTTTTGAGGGGGTTCAGTACACCTGGACTCACCTTCCCCAGGGCTACGTGGACTCACCAGCTGTTTATTCATTGGTGCTCCAGCAAACCCTTAAGTCATGGACCCCTAGTCATGGTTCCGTCCTGCTGCAGCATGTTGATGATATACCGCTGTGCAGTCCTGATTGGGAAGCCAGCACACAAGAAGTTAAAGAAGGTTGACTATCTGGGATTTGTGTTACAACAAGGTACACGCTCCCTCAGCTCCAAACGTATTGAAGCTCTACAAAAGATACCCAAACCTGTTACAAAGAAGGAGTTGCTCACCTTCTTGGGTATAATTAATTATTGTCGTCAGTGGATACCTGAATGTTTACACTACGACTCAATTTTGAGAATGGCTGTAAAAGGGGACAGCCCAGATTATATCAGATGGTCACCTGAAATGGTTGATGCATATGTGGCACTTAAGGTAGGCATTATGCAGACCCCAGCTTTAGGACTGCCTAATTATTGTAAACCATTTCATCGTTATGCAAGGGACAACTGTAAAACCATTGCTGCGGTCTGAGCTCAGGAACATGGAGGTGGTATGCGTCCTGTATAATTTTTCTCCAAAGTAGTCTCTGTTCCGGTTCAGGGGATGATGGCGTGTCTTAGGGCCCTGGCAGCTTGTGCAACTATCTATCACTCTTGGCCTTCCCACTATTCTCCATACATCACACCAAGTGTTACATTTGATCAAGAATCTCACTATACAACACATGACAGCACAATGATTAAGTGGTTATGAAATAATTCTCTTAAATTCTACTAATTTACAGATCAAGTATGGCCCTATCAATTCTGGCACTATGAGTGTACTGCATGCTATCCTTACTCATGACAACCCTAATCTAAGCAAAACTCAGCCAGAAGAACATGACTGTATTCATGCTATACATACACATATCTCCCCCCACTTAGACCTCATGCATACCGCTCAGCCAGGTTCTGAGGATGTGTTCGTGGATGGATCTTGTTCCCGACCTGTTGACGGTCAGTACCAGACAGGGTATGCAGTAGTCCAATTACCTGGTAAGGTAAGGCAAGACAGGTAAGCGACAACAATACTTACTGGTGATTGTGGATCACTTCTCTAAATGGCCTTTGTTACTAATAAGAAGGATGCTAGGACTGTGGTGAAAATACTGACCACTGAAATTATTCCTCAGTATGGCTGCCCATTACAGATCAATTCTGATAATGGCCCTGCCTTTGCTAGCAAAATTACACCGGAATTGGCCAAATGGTTACAGGTTACCTGGAAATACAATGTACCCTACCATCCCCAGAGTTCAGGTATAGTAGAGAGGATGAATAGGACAATTAAGGAAAAACTGATGAAAGCCACAGATGGCACATGGGTTCACTGGCAAACATACTTACCCGCTATTCTAGCTGAAATAAGAATGACCCCTAACAGTTTGATATACTCATGGGATGACCATTTCCTACTCCTTGGGCGAAGGGACGATTTGTTATTATGCCTGATGATTTAGAATTAATCCAGGAAGAGAATGTTAAACAGTTAATTTTTAAACTCAACTCTGTATATGGTGATGTTTCCTCTACCCTCACAGGAACCTTCACATCCTTACCAGCCTAGTGATCTGGTCTGTATCTGACAGCTGAACAATAGTGATGTCGCGAACCCGAAATTTTCGGTTCGCGAACGGCGAACGCGAACTGCCGCAAATGTTCGCGAACCGGTGAACCGCCCGAAACGCCATTGACTTCAATGGGGAGGCGAATTTTAAAACACACAGGGACTTTCTGGCCACAATAGTGATGGAAAAGTTGTTTCAAGGGGACTAACACCTGGACTGTGGCATGCCGGAGGGGGATCCATGGCAAAACTCCCATGGAAAATTACACAGTTGATACAGAATCTGGTTTTAATCCATAAAGGGCAGAAATCACCTAACATTCCTAAATCACAATCAATATGGATTGACACCTGACATGACATATTGACACCTTGACATATGGATTGACACCTGTCCTCAGAGCCCCTGATGCACACGGACACAGAGCAGAATAGAGACTGGTCCCCCTACATAGGGTCACTTGGCAGATATGGATTGACACCTGTCCTAAGGATCCCTGATACACACTGACACAGAGCAGAATAGGGACTGTTCCCCCTACATCGGGTCACTTGGCAGATATGGATTGACACCTGTCCTAAGGTTCCCTGATACACACTGACACAGAGCAGAATAGGGACTGGTCCCCCTACATCGGGTCACTTGGCAGATATGGATTGACACCTTGTTACAAACTGCTATTTGTAACGGGCCCTTTAAATGGCAAATTGCCCTGCTTCCCTGGGTTGTGGAGAAGCCTATTTGCCAGCCTCCTCCCGCATGACTATGGCCCCTGGGAGATTGTGAAAATGTATGCACTTTTATTTGGTGTGTATGGCCCTTTAAGACTGTCGGTGGGCATATTGGGGCTTATGGACTCTTTATGTGACTGGTGCTGGCCCTTTAAACACCTTTTTTGGGACATCAGGAAGATTGGGACACTGCCCCTTTAAGGCCGTGTCCCCAGACTTGTTGGGGACACGGCCCCTTTAAGACGGTGTCCCCTGTGTCCCCAGACCTGGTGCAAACCCTTTGTGCCTGCCTTGCTATTTCCCACTTGGTTCAGTAAATGGAAAATTATTTCAGCTGCAGAGACTAAGTCCCATTCAGCGATGGGACTTAGTCATTTTTTCAGCCTGAAATAGACCGACCTCACAGCCCAAATCTATGGAACTGTTTTAGGCAGGAAAATGTGCTTGCGGTCAGTCATAAAGGGACCTCCAGCTAACTTTTTAACCCCTGGATGTATTTGGCTAATTTTTGGTTATGTTTATGTTTTAAGTGTGCTGATTCCAAATATGTAATTATGAAGATGGGATGTGTAGTTTTAAAGTTACAGTGTATGGCTAAAAACTGTATTTTTACTGCCTGTGTTTAATTATGTTAATCTCTTCCCAAACGTCATTTCGTTCAAAGTGGAGAGAATGTTAAAAAAATATATTTTTGTTCGGAGTGTGAGAAATGCTTTTCAGCCGCTTCTAATCTTAAGCATCATTTGAGGAGCCATACAGGAGAGAAACCTTATTTGTGGTGTGTTTAGTATTGTTCTGATCAGTTTAATACCTTCCGCGTCTCCTATCAGTGGACGTGTACGCGGCATTGATTTTTATCTAAGCCGTAAACTTTTGCACAGCGAAGTATATTCACTGCCATTGAAAAGGAGTGCATGGCGGTGGTGTGGGCCCTCAAAGCTGCAACCTACTTGTATGGACAACCGTTTACCTTACTCACAGATCACAACAAATTTGGGGCACTGCGCGTGCAATCTAATGTGCCACCAGATAGGAGTGGTGTGTTTAGTACTATTGTTATCAGTTTAATCACTGTTACGCCTCCTATCAATTGGGCGTGTGCAGCTTTGATTTCTGTAACAGGGAGATGGAAGAAGATGCTTGGTCGGTCCTTACTGCAAATTTGGGGCACTGCGCGGTCAAGCTAATGTGACACCAGATAGGAGTCGTGTGTTTAGTACTATTTTTATCAGTTTAATACCTTCCGCGTCTCCTATCAGTGGTCGTGTACACGGCAGTAATTTCTGTAACAGGCAGATGGAAGAAGATGCTTGGTTGGTCCTCCTAACTGGAGACTGTGTTGCTGTACGGGTGGCAGGTGGAGCCATTTTATAAAGTACACACTGCTTTATAGAGCCATTTATAAAGTACACACTGGCGGCTTGAACCCTAGTTGGTGGCGGATAAGTCACGCAAGTCAACAGGCATTCAGAGCTAAAATACAGCAGTGTGTGGACCATTTTTAGCCCAAGGCAGCTCATCTCATCAGGCCGCGCCTTTTTACATAGGGGTCACTTGGCAGATATGGATTGACACCTGTCCTAGGGATCCCTGATACACTGACACAGAGCAGAATAGGGACTGTTCCTCCTACATAGGGTCACTTGGCAGATATGGATTGACATCTGTCCTCAGAGACCATGATACATACTGACACAGAGCAGAATAGAGACTGTTCCCCCTACATAGGGTCACTTGGCAGATATGGATTGACACCTGTCCTCAGAGACCATGATACACACTTGACACAGAGCAGAATAGAGACTGTTCCCCCTACATAGGGTCACTTGGCAGATATGGATTGACACCTGTCCTCAGAGCCCCTGATACACACTGACACAGAGCAGAATAGAGACTGTTCTCCTACATAGGGTCACTTGGCAGATATGGATTGACACCTGTCCCCAGAGCCCCTGATACACACTGACACAGAGCAGAATAGAGACTGTTCATTAACATAGGGTCACTTGGCAGATATGGATTGACACCTGTCCTCAGAGACCATGATACACACTGACACAGAGCAGAATAGGGACTGTTCCCCCTACATAGGGTCACTTGGCAGATATGGATTGACACCTGTCCTAAGGATCCCTGATACACACTGACACAGATGGGAATAGGGAATGTTACCCCAACATAGGGTCACTTGGCAGATATGGATTGACACCTGTCCTAAGGATCCCTGATACACACTGATACACACCTACTTGAATGGTATAGACATTTTTAGCAGCTCCTGGCGAACACCTGACCCACATAGGAGCCGTAATAGACCGGATTAGGGAGTCCGGACTGACCCTAAAGCCCAGTAAGTGCCATATAGGAACGTGTAAAAACCTCCCCAAGATGGTAGTATGGGCCCCAGAGTGTGAACAGGCCTTCCAACAGCTCAAGACGGCGCTCATTAAATCACCTGTACTTTCTTCTCCTGATCCAA